CGAGTGACCAAAATTGATATTAAATTTTTCTAGTGACTAAACATGACATGATTTAGTAATATTAGTGACCAAATGTAACATTTACCCTAGTCCCTTGGATTTGCTTATTATTACAGCACCAGTACACATGGGGTTGTGGTGTGTACCTCTATGGTCCTTTTTCCTTTCATTTTTTCTCTGCCTGAGTGCCTACGGTGGTACTGCCTAGTGAGCTCAGTTCTAGATTTAGTCATGGCGGATTGGTCAGCCAAAAATCTTGGTTTCCTGCTAGCTGCTTGTCAAACAAACCCCAATCCCAGTGCTAGTAGTACTGTTCCTGTGGCTTCCTGGCCATTGCCAGCTACCTCCAGCAAGAGGAAACCCAGCCACCCAAAATTAAAATCTGCTTTCATCACCCATCCACCCACTTTTGATTGTACCCCAAAAGTACTACTGTAACAACAACAAAAATTATGAAGAGAGTAAGAAAAGAAGGCTCGACCGAAGGACGTCTTTACAACGTTATATGATTGGATTATGCGTTGCACGATTCATATTCATAATCGTTGTACGCGATAACAACTGTGTACATCACGAATATCAAGATCAAGAAAGGTACGAAGGTATAACGATATACTTATTTCAGACCTCGTGGGTCTGTGGTCAAATGTATACACGGAAGGAACGAGTTCATTTTGTTCTACAAAACAACATCAATTTTTGGATGAAATCTTTTCAGACCACACACTGCCACTCTTTATCTCTTTCACTTTAACTCGATTTTGACAATTTTTAACACAAAAAGGAACGGATTCATTATAATATACAAAAGTATATCCATTTCAATAAATTTAATGGGAAGTTTTTGGACCAATTATACCTTTTTCGTAGGAAGCATACGCAATCAGCGTCCTGAACTTAAATTAAGACAAAATGTTCATGGGTAATGCCCATTACATCATAGTTTAACCAACATCTAAACTTCGAGTCGCACTCATTGAATAGATGTGTGCCAAAAGGGGAGGAGTGACACATCTTAGCAAGGAAATCAGCTGCAAAATTTACATTCTCTGTAAATATTGGAAATTCTAACTTCCCAATCAAGTTTTAAAATGCGATCAATCTCCAAAGCCAGCAGACCATGGCAATGATCACTATCCTGTCGATTGTGGATGATACCAATGGTTGTAGCAGAATCAAGATTCAAAACTACTTTCATGTAGCCACTCCTCCAAACAAGGAGCATCCCTTCAACTGCACCCTTAAGCTCTGCACCAGTGATCGAGCACGATCCCAGATTACCTGTGAACACTTTTAAACATCTTCCTAGGTGGTCTCTAATTCGACCCCCCCGCTGCCGCTCTCCCATCATTGTATACTATGATAAAACAAAAATATTGTTCTAATTGTTATTCAAAAATATTCATTAAAAAAATGAGACAAATGGGTTATAAACTTATAATCCATTATCATTATATTTTAGTGGGAAAAGTTATATGAACAATCCATAGTTACTAAGCTGACAATGAACCCATGAGATGATGAGAACCGTAGCCAAATTCAAAAACTAAACCCCCTGTTTTTCTAGTACAACTGATCCCTTTGAAGTTGAAGGAGCTCAGCTAGCTCTGTTCAATGGAAAATGAGTTAACAATGCCCTGCTAAATCAGCAGCGGCTGCTGCTGCTGCTTGCTGCAAACAAAAACCCTAAAAAACGTACCTACCTAGCTAGCTAGTTAGGCTACTTGTCATGCATGGCCACCGGAAACAGAGACCCCAAGAAGAAAAAGGGCTTTTATGTGTAAATAATACAAATTGAAAAACAGAGCAATGGGGAAACGGAGTAGAAATTGACAAGAGAGAAGGGTTTGTTGGTGTTCAGTACACATATGTAATGGACAGGGAAGAAGAACAATTGACTCCACAGACTGAAACAGTGAAAAAGAATCAATTTTTAATACCCACAACAATTGTATCAGAAAGGGTTCTGCTGCAAAATTTACCTAACCGAAGATCTTTGCAGAGACCTTCAGATTAGGGAAACAGAGAGAAATGAAGAAAAAAAAACAAATAAGAAAATGGGATTCTGAGAGTCATCTGCGGCTGAGATTTGCAGAGCTGGGTCCGGCCATTGGAGAAGAGAGATTTGTAATTATCGAAAAAGGATGAAGAAGGAGAAGTAGATGCTTGCTGATGTACGCCATTTCCTTCCAAAGAAATAGATAAACTAAGATAAATAGATACTTGCGTTTATTATATGACCAGATCAACCTGTAATTTGTCTACTGAACCCTAGTTGATTGTAAAAAGACGGGACATAGGCAGAGGTGACGACTTAATCAACTATTTTGACACACATTCTTGAGTGTCATGGGAACATGAATTAGTGCAGTTCTAACGAGAAATTAAACCTTTCTGAGAGATGCTAAAATGAAGTCTTTGCAAAGTATTGAGTATGATATATATATATATAATATATTAGATGTATGGCTAATTGGTTAATTGATTTGATTGGTTAGTAGTTTCTGAAATCAAACCACCTAAACCAAATAAACTAAAAAGTTTAAACAAACCAAATTAACTAAATAAAATTATATGAATACTACCGGTTAAAACGATTGCCGCGATAACCACTTCGTGTGTACACCCCTATGCAATTGCCACCAGGGCTGGATTTGGGAGAGTCCAGTTTATAGAGGATGGCATGTAGACAAAAGAAGTCTTTGTATGGCCTTAAACAGGCCTATAGACGGTGGTTTGCCAAGTGTTAGTCAGCTTTCTTTTGAAGACGGGTTTTAGTCAATCTGCCCCGGGCTACTCTTTGTCTACAAAATAGGTTCATGGCAAGATTGTGGTTATACTGATGGTAATGGCACAACAGAGGAAATATTGCTTAGAATTGCTGAAGGAAACATGATATCATGATTCTTCTAAGGGGTGTCAATCACCAAATGACTCCAAAGTGAGGTTATATCAACAACACAAGGAACAACACTAACATATCATGAACAATACATAAGGCTAGTAGGGAGGTTGCATTACATTACCATCACAAGACCGAAACTTACTTTTGCAGTTCAAGTATTATGTCAGTTACAAAAGAAGCCACATGAAAAAACGTCTTCAAGCAGCCTATAGAGTTATGAGGTGCTTGAAGAATGGATCGGGTCAATGGACTTACTTTAGCAACACATCCAAATTAAAGCTAACGGGATTTTATGACTCAGACTGGGCAAGTTGCCCATATATAAGAAGATCCACTAATAGTTATTGCACATTCCTACAAAGGTCACCACTTACCTAATAGACCACAATGTCTTGATCTTCATCGAAGGCAGAATACATGGCATTAGCAATGACAGTTTATGAAATCCAGTGGTAGAATGGGATGCTAGAAGAATTTTGTGTGAAAGTTCCCTTACCTATCACTATGTACTATGACAATATGTCAGCTATACACATTGTTGAGAGTCTTCTTTTCCAAAAAAAAAACACACATAGAGATTGATATTCATGTGACAAGAGAAAGGATTAAGACGACTTTGATCAGATTGCAACATATGAACAAAGTGAATCAAGTTGGGAGTCATACTGCATGCTACACCTTGAAGAGGGGTGACATAATTGCTGGACAAGAAATCCGGATTGTAACGTGATTGTAGAACGAAGGAGATTCGAGTGAAGATTGCTCAAGAAATGTTTCGGACTCCTAGACTTTACATTGACTTGTTATGTTCTGTTATACATGCTCCGGACCCTTTTATTTACACACTTATCCTTTTTTTTACCAATAGATCACTTGTATTACCAAGGTAAAAAGCTAGCACAGTTTACAACCCAAGAGCAAACCCACGACCAAAATCAAAAGTATCTACAACTGCAGGCAACAAAGAAAGGGTCTTCCTAGCCACCTCATGGCCCACCCGATTGTTACTCCTGCCAATAAAGGTCATCTCCAAGCGCAGGTAATGATGACATAGCCTCCGAATTTCTTCAAGAATCCGTTCACCTTTCATATCCCAAGCATCCCTATTCTGAATTTTCTCAATGACAACCTTCGCATCCCCGCAGAATTGCAAACCACTGTTTAACATTTAAATGTAGCCAATACAACAACGACACGTGCCAAAGATCTGTAATCCTAATTAGTTGCTTAATATATAAATGCAGAGCAGCTCACTTGCTGCTTGTGTGGGTTTTCTACGCAAATCGACCCTATCTAAGAAATCTATCAAACACCATTACTAGGTATGGCAATTTCGACCTGACCCGTTTTACCCGACCTGTTTGGCTTATTTTGGGAGCGGGGTTGGCATGGGTACCTCTCGTTGACCCGACCCGCCCTGACCCGCCTTATTCTCGGCCCGTTGTTGCCTAAATTACATGTAATCTTAGTCAAATTACGTAGAATTTTCCTCATATCACCTCATATTTTAGATATAATAAAGTTGTAAATAAGTGAAAACCTCAATTTCTCCAATATTTTTACTACATTTTATCATATTATGGTTTATTTCTTGATCTTTTAATGAAAATAATGAACATTTTAAAAGTTTTTCACATAAATTACATACTCATTGGGTCGACCTACCCCAACCCGCGCCCCATGATAAATTATCCGACCTGGACCTGACCTACCACGAGGCAAATATGAATATCGAAATACCCTACCTGGACCTGCACATTACCATTCCTAACCATTACCCATTAATCAACCATTTATGTCCTCTTCTTCCTTTCTCTTCACCTCTGCCCAACTTTTGATCTTTTGGGAATCTGATTCTTCGTGTTATTACTACAGAAATAATTGGTACATATATACTCATGATTAGTACAATCCTTCAACACCACACCACGGCAAAAATAAATTAAATCTTCAATAGCGACCCTCTCCCTCTTCTTCTTCTTCTTCTTCTTCTTCTCCATCTTCTTCCTTTCCTTGGCCTCTCGTGGCTCCTTTTATAACACAGTTACAGTACCTCCTTCCTTTCCATCCCAAAGTTTCAAACTTTCCGTTATTGAATATCACATTCAAACAAACAATAAAATACAAAAAAAAAAAATCCCTCTCATCTCATCTCCCCCTACCTCCATAACCTCTGCATCTCCACAGCGCCCCCTGTTTCTTTGTCCTCTTCCTTCAGATTTTCACGAGCCCCCTCTCTCTCTCCCACAATCCCTTTCTTTAATTTGTTCAGTTTCCCCTTCGTCTTTTCAAAAAAATTGCCGCTTTCCCCTTCCACTTTCTGCTACTTCTCTCTCAGCTGTTACAAAAATATTTAACCAGCCTTCCTCTGGTTCGTTCGTTCTTTCCAACTCCCCAAAACGGCTACCCTTTTCCTCCCTCTTTCAAGGTTCCACTTTTGACCCTTTTCCCCTCTCTATGTAAGTAACCCGCTTTCTTTCTGGGTTTCACTGATTCATTCTCTCTTTGTGCTCTGTTTCTCCTTTCCTTCTTCCTCTCCCCTGTTTTTTTCTCTTCTAGTAGAGAGGGGGAAGAAATTGAGAGAAAATGGGTAAAGCTGCTAGGTGGATCAAGAACTTGTTTGGGATAAAACCAACAACCAGAGGGAGTAAAGATAGCGATGAGGGCAAAGAGAAGCGAACTGGGTGTGGCGGATTCGGGCATTCTGTGAAGGATTCGGGGGAGTCGTTGTGTCGAAATCCGGCAACCATCCCACCGAACATTTCTCCGGCGGAAGCCGCGTGGTTGAAGTCTTATTACTCTCAGACGGAGAAGGAGCAGAGCAAGCACGCCATTGCGGTTGCTGCTGCCACCGCTGCCGCGGCGGATGCCGCCGTCGCGGCTGCCCAGGCTGCCGTCGCGGTCGTCCGGCTCACCAGCCACGGCAGGGGCACGATGTTCGGCGGCGGCAGCCACGAGCGGTGGGCTGCTGTCAGGATTCAAACCGTGTTTAGAGGTTTTTTGGTGAGTAGAGTTATTGAGAAATTAAGCTCTGTTTTTGCCTAAAGCTCTGTTTTTTACTCTGGCTTATGAAGCTCTCTGTTTTCTGGGGTGATTTTGCAGGCGAGAAAGGCGTTGAGAGCTTTGAAGGGATTGGTGAAATTACAGGCGCATGTGAGAGGTTATTTAGTGAGGAAACAAGCGACGGCAACTCTTCACAGTATGCAATCTTTAATCAGGGCACAAGCCGCTGTTAGGTCTCAGAGAGCTGCTGCGCGGAATCGATTAGAAATTCGAGCTCGGAAATCAATGGTAAAGCTTAAATCAAAATGTCAAAGGCCAATTTCTCGTACATTCCGTTTCAGATTCGAGCGTTTTGAAATTAATCGATTTGGGTAATTGGGTTGTTTTTCCAGGAGAGATTTGACGAGATGAGAAGCGACCATTCAGCTTCAGTCCACCACAGTCGGAGGCTCTCTGCTCCTCTAGACGGCGGAATGATAATCGACGCCGGCAGCAATCTCGCTGTCGCCGATGAAACGCCGAAGATTGTGGAGATGGATACAGGGAGCAGGCCCAGGTCGCGATCTCGACGATGTACAAACATCTCGCCATCCTCTGTTCCCGATTTCGGCGACGACCCGCCGCCGCCGGTGTTTGTGCACTACCCTACCACTGTGTCTTCTCCGCTGCCGTCGCGGGTGCCTCACCGGCTGTCGATCCCCGACCACCGGAACTTCCACGACTACCCATCTTCCGACTGGGGGCTGACCGGCGACGAGTGCAGATTCTCCACGGCCCACAGCACCCCTCGGTTTCTGAACCCGGGGGCAGGGTGCTGCGGCGGCGACGGGGGAGTCAACAACGCGCCTGCTCCCTTGACTCCGGCGAAGAGCATCTGCGGTGGGGAGAATTTCTTCCGGTCGCCGTACGGCGGCTACCACCCAAACTACATGGCGAACACGCAGTCGTTCAGGGCGAAATCGAGGTCCTACAGCGCGCCGAAGCAGAGGCCGGAGCCGGTGTCGGCAGGGACGCCGACGGCGGGGAAAAAGAGAGTGTCTTTGAACGAATTGCTGGAGTCGAGGAGCAGCTTGAGCGGGGTGAGGATGCAGAGGTCGTGTTCAAAAGCCCAGGACGCCATTAATTTCAAGAATGCGGTGATGGGGAAGCTTGATCGGTCGTCGGATTTCGGCAGGGAAAGGGAGGTTTTGCAATTACAGCAGAGATGGTGACGATTTGCAGAAGGAAACCCAATTAAGGAGATTTGATTATATGATTGTTAATTAGGGTTATGGTGATGGTGGATTAACAAAGGAGAAAACTGTAACGGTCACCTGATCAGTGATTGAATAGAGTTTTATATAAATCTTCCCCATTAATGTTGGAGCTGCATCCTACAAATATCACAATGAGATGCAGATTGTAGAATTGTTAATGTTCATCAATGGGAGAAAGAAGAAACTTGCTTCGGACTTTCTTTATTAATCCTAGTTTAAGCAAGGCTTCTTGTTAAATTGCAAAATTTTGTAATTTAAAGGTACGAGATTACAACATCGTACCTAATTGACTGATATCAAGTCGACCTTTCCATTCAAAATTCACTTATAATTGAGCATATCAAACTTTAAACTCAGTTTATTTTCTTGATTCTAGAAACCATATTACTCCTAAAACTAAAGGGACATACGACTCAAACCCAACACCTTAAATTACTAAATTTTTTGTAGTTCCATGGGCTAAACCAACATTTTAAATTGAGGTGGCAACTTGAAACAAGCCATTCATAAGTGGGTTCAGTCCAGTAGAGAGAGGAAGAATAAGCGTAGAATCCACAAGACTTGAACCCCAATTAGCAGATAATGTTCTAGCTCAACATATACAAGGGATGAAATCCATAAGACTCGAACTCAATGCCTTGAAGTTACAATATCGTTGTGGTACCGTCAGAGTATAATCCAACGTTCTCATATCTATTGTGAATTTAGAAAGTTATCAATTTGATATGAATCAATTGCTTGATTAATTGTTTGTTAACATATATACACACAAATGGAGGGAAACCTTTGGATCTATGTGGATTCAAATTTTGCACAATGTGATGTATATGTAAGGTAAGGCCAAGTCAATATGAGTATGATGTTTCATTTGAAGGAGAGAGGGCAATTGGATTCAAAAATACAAAAATAAATAGATGAGGTGACTGAAGCAAAAACCAATGATGCCTCTTCCATGTGGCCACCTCAAGTTTTGCTCTCTCCCTATCCCACTATTACTACATATGGGTTATTATGCAAAAATTGGTTTTTTCCTTGGAGCAAATGTGTTGCACATGTTTGAGCATGTCCAACCTCATGCCCAGTCTCTCGCTCGTCATTGTTTTTTCCAAGTTCGCGAACTGTCTTCCTCCCTTCCTTTGGTCCCTGCTCCGCCCCAGCTAGGGATGGCAATGGGTAGGGTCGGGTGCGGGTTTACCCTATACCAACTCCTAACCCGCCGGGTAGAGCCTTCTAAAATACCCGACCAAATAACCACCGGGTATGAAAATTATATAACCATACCCTACCCACCGAGTAACCACGGGTGTTCGGGTAACCATGGTACGAATCCTAAACTATGAACTTATACACATATATGCACATACATACTGTTGTCCATTAAAAATTCTCAATATTTCTAATTGTTCTAGCTTCAACAATCCACACAAATAAAAACAACAAAAACATAATTATTGTTCTTGCTTCTACAATCCACACAAACATAATAATCGTCTACATCATCATCAATAATGGTAGCTAAACTAAATTTCTCAAGCTAAACTAAATTTCTCAAGGGAAATTGACCCTTTGGTTAGCGGGGCGGGTATAACGGAGCGGGTATTATCGATTACCATACCCGTACCCTACCCTTTATTTTGAAACCGGGTATTACCCTTACCCGCCCCTTAACCCGTCAAAGCGGGTAATTACCCTCGTTGACCGGTTACGGTCGGGTAGGGTACCCATGGTTACGGGTTGGATTGACATCCCTAGCCCCAGCCTTCCCGTTCTCGCCTCTCGTCTTGGTCCCCTCCTCCTGATGGCTTTGTGAAGATCAATTTTGATGCTGCTGTTCGTCCTTCTGGGTGCTCGTCTGGTCTTGTGGTGCGCAGTTCAGATAGGCTTGTGGCTCTGGCTTTAGGGTCTCTCCATCCCGGTATTGCTGATCCCTATCTTGCGGAGCTCCTAGCAGCTAGGGACGCCATCGCCCTTGTAGTCTCCAAACTGCTTCCTCGGGTCATCATAGAAGGAGATTCAGAGGTGGTGTTTCGTCAGTTTCGTCAATGTGCTCTCTCTGACTCCATTGGAGGTCCGGTGCTTCGGGATTGCTTCCTTCTCCTTTCTTCCGTCTCTGTTTCTTTAGAGTTTAGGGCAGTTCCTCGGACTGCTAACAGTGCTGCCCATAGAGTGGCGCAGAAAGCACTGTTACTCTCCCCTTTAGAGTTATGCGCCTTTGATTTTGTGGGTTGGCTTCACTGATGTATTGGGTTGGGCAGGGTTGGGGTAGATTGTATAGGTTCTCTCTTGACATTTCTTGGGGAAAAAAAAACCTTCCAATTTGGTATCATGTCGATAGGCATTCTAGGTACCCGTATGCACCAGATCATGTTGTTCGATCGCTCATTCTCGTGTTTTCAGTTATCAAATTACTATGTAAATGATGTTAATAATAATAATAATAATAATAATATTATTATTATATCAATTTAATGGCTCAAGATCACAAAATGAAGAACGATCTAATGTGTGGAATTTGCTCTCCCTACTTGGTTTCTTGGGATTTTGTAAGACACCCCATTCTCCAAATTCTTAATGCTTCTATAGTTGGGTTGTTGTTAATTCCCCAATCTTCCTTCCTCAATTATTGTGAAAGACAAACATTTGCCATAAAACAGAACATGGGAAAGGAATTGCTGATTTTGGATTTTTCTCATGAAAGTTTTCATAAACAAACACTCTATTATTATGAGCCCAACGTACGAGGTGATCCTAATTACTAGGTTGTTCAAATAGTTGGACTTTGATTGCAATTAGTTTAATTAAATCTTATTTTTGAATCACCATCGAATATTATTTTACTTTATCTTGTTTCATCTTTCTACATGGGTTGCTACTTGCTAGTATACCCTTCACTCTGATGAATCTTTTACTCCTCCCTAACCACGAGGCTCTTGGACACAATCAGGGCAAATCAATTATAATTCTGGCCATGATAATAGGTGATTCAAGTTGGCATGTATTGCTCGAAAAGATATAGTAGATCCTTAGTTGATTCCGTATAATTTGAGCTGTTGAGATAATTTAGCTTTTGATGTTGTTATCAGGGTCTTCAATCAACAAGATATCATATTTGAACACCCCCTCAAAATCAAATATTTATTAACCAAATAACATAGAGAGAAAGATTATGCAAACTTCAAACTCATAGATTGATATTCATATGTACTGACACGTAACAAGATGATTCAAAATCTATACTTCAAAATTAAAGATTGGAACTTTTCAGCTCTATGCAGTTCGGTTCGTAGCCTTGTTCACCGGGTAATCATGACTTCGAGCTCCACTGTGATGGATGGTCTTCCAGGAGGCAGCTAATGATGTTGCAGTGTTCAATCACCATGATCAAGTATGTGTTCGACGATATGAAATCGTGCTTTGTGCGGTTTTGTTTGATTCAAAAGCGAGAGGACTTTGCATTGGGTTTGGATCCAAATTTGAACTCCCCATGTCCGATGCGTTTGGTCTATGTTCCACTCCTTTTCCCTCTGTTTTTTAAGAAGAGAAAGGGAGGGGAAGGGAAGGGAGGGAGAGAAATTCCAGAACCCAATAACTTTTCCACCGTTCTCCAAACTTGCTACAGGACCGGAGGGAAGGAAAATGTACTGTTTTACCTGAGCCTCCAATTTGGGAGGAAAGCCATCTTCTCAAGCATTTTCCTATTTTTCATTTTTTTTTCTTGCGTTTTGTTTTGCTTTCCACTACGTTGGATGGGTAAACGATTTATGGAATTTTATTTTATGGTCACATATTATAAGATTATCTAATATAATTTATTATTTTATCAATTGTATGGTTAATTAACGAATAAAACATTATTATTAACTAATACCTTTTTTTCTCGTGCGTTGTCTATTTTCCTTTTTCGTTTAAGTTGTATTTGTGTAGGGATGTGTGATAGCAGTGAAATAAATGACAAAAATTGTTAATTTATATGTTATTAGCACATATATTGCATTTAACGTGGAGAAATATTAGGAGATGTGATAATTACTAATTCATTGTTTTTAGGGTTGAAGAGATAATCTTCGACTAATTTTGGAGGACGATAATTAAATTAGTGAAGTCCGTGTGTATTATTTTAGATTGCTTACTTAACTACGTAAACTTCTAACATGATATTATATACACTACCGACTTAGATGACAGTAGACGATTTTTACGGTCCAACTGGCGATACACGAAAGAACAATATTTATGGCTAACTATGATGCTAGACAATTCTACTCTTATTTGTATGATATCTTTGTGTATCATTATACAATGGTGACAAATATTTTTCTCACCGGATCATGGTCAAAACATCTATTTTTGTATTTTAATAATGAGCAAAATTAACAAGGAATAATGTATTTGATCCAATTACGTGGAACGTAAATGTGTGTTAAGTTTCAAGTATAACGACATCAGAGTGTTACATTTTTTAAAGAATGGACGTTATCTTGTACTACAAAAGTAATCAAATTTGTATGAAAAATAAAAAAGAGTTAAATGAACAATTTATGTTCCGTTAACAAATAACAAAATTGATCATGGTTATGTAGAAATTGGTTATTCATAATATTTATTTTCGCATTTTTTGCATATACTTACTATTACATAATCAATAAAACAACATATCTATCACACTTCCCTATATACTTTTTTCCTTTCACTATCTCTTTCACTTTTCCCCATAAAACAACATTTTCTCTCCAATTCCATTCCCCTCCAATTTTCCTTCCCATCCAAGTTTTCCCTCCCCTCCCCTCCCCTCCCCTCCCCTCCCCTCCTACTTCGGAAACATGGGGTTTATGTTTTTATCTCACAAGCTTGGATTGTTCTACAAATGTAAGATGTATTTCTTGATTTGGTTTCGATTTTCTTTGTAATATCCCTCTGCTTAACCGATTTCTTATGAGTACAACGTAAGCGTTTGCTTTAGCAAAATGAAAACTTCTCCAACTATTAAATCTTTCTTGATAATGGTATGGTTCTCAACCCATAGTGATGAAATTTGAAAATGAGATTGAGATCACCACCACCAATCAAAGACAATGCATCATTACCCTAAATTTAAAGAAGAGGAATGAGCAGTAGTAGGTCACAGGGGAGATGGAATCAATCTGACCAATTAATGTCGTAGGAAATTTTTTTGTTGATCTTATTGAGTTGG